GATTGCTTATTGAAATGGGCTGTTATAGGGGACAGTGAGGATGACGGCCCTGTCAAAGCTGCTCTGGAACGAGCCAATGCCAGACCCATCTCTATTTCCAAAAGTCTAGAGGACCTGGCATCCACACGTAGGTTTCCTTTCTCTTTTCTACAGTAATGTTTATTGACCTTATTCAAAATAAAGTCGAACATGTTCATGCTGTCTTGGTCCTGTAGGAGTGACAGACTCTTTTGCCCTTTGCTGGACATTTGTTTTTATAACTCTCAACGTCTCTAACCCAATCAAACAATAGTGCACACAATATGTTTCTTTTATTTTTATTACTATATGTTTAATTGCATTTCTGCTATTTATTTATGGATTTTTATTATTATTATGTATTAATACTTTCCATATAAACCAAGAAGAGAGATGGAAGACTGACCCAAGGAGTGATTTTGGGATGAGTATGGAAAATGGTAAATATGAGGGTTTTTTTTTTACTTTTTTAAATTAATAAATAATGCATTTTAGAACTTTTTCAATGTTTTTGTTGTCCTCTGCTATGTGAACTGATGTTTCCTGGTTAGAGGGCAGCATCATAGATGCATTTACGCCTGCACTATTACATTAAGAGCAGGAAGTTAGCCCATGACATTAAATTATAGCATTGAGGACATTAAACATCCTTTTCATAATTGACCCTTACTCTTTCATGTATAGTTCACTGTCTGAATTGGCTAAAGGAATGCATTAACTGACACATGACAACATTTGATGAGCTTTTGGGGTAATGCCAATGGTTAAAGGCTGTTTGCATCCCATACAACCTGAATCAAGTATCTAATGGTGAGGTAGATGGACTAACTAAATACATTCTTTATATAAAATATCAAATGTGCTCTCCAAAATGAACAATTCTAGATGCAAACTCTAAGATTTATTTAATCTGTATTTGGATGGATCCAGAATATGTGTCCATTAAGTGCCTCTATTTCATTGGTCTAAGTGTCTGCAGTCACTCCCAACACCAAAACGTCCTTCTCCGACCCAGAACAGGTGAAGATGATGAGTATGTCTGTACCTGCATTCATGCAACAAGAGGTAACATACGACCAAAAACTCATGAGCCTACAACTAACAGCTTCTACACTAGATTATTTCTAAAATGTCATAATTTATATTTGACCTTTATCACTATAGCTAAACACCAGCATTCACTGCCTTTATTAACATGCATAAATGCAGACCATCTCCTGTCTATTAGATGGATCGCGGAAACAATGACTGTGCATCAGTGACCAGTTTCCACTTTGACAGCTTAAGAACATGCAACACTCCTTCTAATTTTAGCACTTGCTCTGAGGCGGCCTCCATGTCCTCTGTATGTGACCCCAGTCTTTAACGCAACACAATAATGCTAAATAGAACTAATATCACTCAGATATAACACAAATGAACATATTCATTCATTTATTTCACATTTATTTTATACTGATCTGTGTCTTCTTGTGGTGTATGTATAGGTCACTGGCAGTGTAATGAGCATCTACAGTAGTGATTTTGGTAATGTGGAGGTGAAAGGAATAATCCAGTTCGCCATTCACTATGTACAAAAACTGGGAGAGTTCCACATCTTTGTCGTCCAGTGCAAGGACCTCGCCGTAGCTGATGTTAAGAGGAACCGATCTGATCCGTAAGTGGGGTTGAGGGGAATAAACACAAAATTATATTTCTTACCAGGAGAATATGGCTTCTCTCTAGCTAAAAAAATGGATTAACAAGGATACATGTACTTTGTTTGATTTAACTGAATTTTAGGTATGTTAAATGCTACTTGTTACCTGACAAAGCCAAATATGGAAAGAAAAAAACATGCGTGAGGAAGAAGACTCTGGACCCCGCTTACAATGAAATCCTACGGGTATGACAATTCTAAACTTCTTGAGATATGTTTATAAATGTGATAATCATAGTTGTCATTTCAATGCAGTTTAAGATTCCAATGGAGTCGCTGAAAACCCAAAAGCTGAACATCTCTGTGTGGCACAATGACACGTTTGGGCGTAACAGCTTTCTTGGAGAGGTTGAGGTTGATCTGGCCGAATGGGATTTCAATAACTCGCAAATGAATGAGTATCTACTCAAAGGAAGGGTAAGATAACAATTGTCATGTCTCTTGGGTCAGGATAACCTGTTTAGATAGCTCTTTAAACTTATTTGTTACTTATGAGGTCACGTTCTGTTGCACTGCATCTGCCACTGTCTTTCTTTATCGACTCAGGTTCAGGTTCCTACCAGCCCAAAACATTCTGTCGGTGGCGAGGAAACGAGTGCAGAGATTAAAGTAGCTCTTCGTTTTGTCCCGCAGACTTCTCCCAGTAGGTTATTGATGCTGAGATTTATGATAAATATTTTTAGAAGCATCTGCCTTTCTGATAACATGTTTATTATGTAGGTCACAAGAACAAGGGGAACGGTGAGGTGCAAATATGGGTGAAAGAATGCAAGAATCTGCCTATTTCCAGGGGTGTTGCCATTGACCCATTTGTCAAATGGTATCAAAAGCTATTTTATTTGGATACATTTGTATTTATGTTGGAGTGCTAGATGTGGAATGCCCATGTGTGTGAATTCTGCCTTTTCAGTGCAGTCCTCCCAGATGCCAGCCGAAAAAAACGTCAGAAGACCAGAGTGTTGAAGAGGTCTTCTAACCCAGTGTTTAACCACACCATGGTGTATGATGGCTTCAGACAAGAGGACCTCAAGGAGGCCTGTGTGGAGCTTACAGTGTGGGATCATGACAAACTCAACAACCACTTCATTGGTGGTATTAGACTGGGTAATGGAACAGGTAATTAAAGAAGCAATTAGGTCATTAAAGGAATAGTTCTGCCAAAAATGAAAATTAGCCCATGATTTATTCACCCTCAAGCCATCCTAGGTGTATATGACATTCTTCTCTCAGATGAATACAATCAAAGTAATATTAAAAAATATCCTGCACTTCCAAGCTTTATAATAGCAGTTACCGGCCATTAAAGTGCATCCATCCATCCATCCATCATAAAAGTGCTCGACACTTGCGCTCAAAAGTTTTAAAACTTTATTGACTAAAATAACTTGCTTCCGGCAGACGGCCATATGCATCGATTTATGGCGAAAGAGTAACCCTTGACGCACGACATATTGACGAACGCGAAGCACAGATAAATGGAGCAAAACAAAACACCAGGCACAAATTAGAAGTCTAAAACGCAGTGTTGTAGTATTTGAGACTCGGACTCGTCTCGGACTCGGTCTCGACACCATATTTTAATGGTCTTGGTCTTGTCATGGACTCGTGTGCATTTGGACTCGGAATTGACTCGTACTCGAACATTTTTTTTTAAGGACTCGGAATTATTCCCGAGTCCACTCGAGTTCAATTAAAAATATTTTTAATGATTATTAATGTATGTTAATAAAATATTTCTTTAAATTGATTGACAAGCCCAGTGATTGGTGATTTTCTAGATTTTCAACTGCGCGTGACAAATTGTAATAAAATTACTTTTAACACCACCTACTATGTGGCCTTTTTACCCAAAACTGATCATATTTTTTAAACTCTAAGTAAATTCAGTAAAAAAAAAAAAAGGATTTCTCTAAGTAAATAAAAGTAAATTAGGTAATCAACCCTCACTGGTCTCGGTCTCGACTAGGACTCGACCGTCTCTGGTCTCGGACTCGACTCGGACTCGACTCTCTCTGGTCCCGGTGTTGACTCGGACTCGAGTGAGGTGGTCTCGACTACAACACTGCTAAAACGACAATTTTTATAGATTTGGATAAGGAGCTTGATAAAGAGATAAGGAGCTTAGAGTTTGTTGTCCAGCCCTGTTTGTTGAACCGCGAGAGGTCACACACACGCTTGTTGTTTACCCAGCAACGGCTTTGATGTAAAGTCAAGTTTGTAGTTTTCTATCTCATTAGAACTACAGAAACGCGACCTGATCTGGCAATCTTACATAGCGTGGTTATAGCAGATATAGGACTGCAAAGCGGAGGCACATGTGCCTTTAACACTGTTACGACTTGATGAACCACTGAAACGATTTTGGAAAGATTATTTTAAGGTAAAAAAAATCGTACTTAGTGTTGCTTTAATAACTCAGACTGTATTTGTCTGAAAGAGGAATGTCATATACACCTAGGATGACTTGAGGGTGAGTAAATCATGGGCTAAGTTTCATTTTTGTGGTGAACTATCCCTTTGAGAAAATGAAATTGAAAAATGTCATGACAATTGTATCTTATTGCAGGTAAAAGTTATGGCACTGAAGTGAACTGGATGGACTCTAATTCCGCTGAAGCAGCCCTGTGGGAAAGAATGATGCAATCTCAGAATGAATGGGTGGAAGATACGTTACCTTTGAGAATGATGGTCATGGCAAGAATGTCTAGATAGTAAGAAAATGAGGCATGGTGACACTTTTTAACAAATACATAAAAAAAAATGACAAATGAACATGAAGAAAGCAGTATGTAGGAAAACACTATGTAATGTTAAATATATATATAAACTAACTTGGTGGTTCTTGCCATTTTTGACGAGGAAAACAAAGAGAATGAAAATTATAATATTCCTAGTGTAAAGTATGTAGGTTTGATGTATTTACAACTAAATAAAATCTGTCAATATGCTGCACATAAGTTAAAAAATACATAGTTTGTGAATTACTTTGAAAGACTATCCTAAGACATTGTCATTTTAATAAACTTTAAATTGTCCAACTGCCATATCACTTTTATTTGTAAAATGTTGAATACCTAGTTAACTACGAATTAAATTTGTGTGTGTGTATGTGTGTGTGTGGAAACAACTATAGTTAGTATTAGCCACAGTAATTGTCAAAGTAACTTGACAGCAACCAGTTCTGGAAAACAACAACAAGAAAAGAAAAGAAAAAAAAAAACTTTTCTTTGCTCCTCCTCCATGTTTCCGGAAGTGTCGCAATATCTTTGCATTCGCCATTTTAGTTCCTCGCTCGTTTTAGTCGTTGTAAGTGCGTTGCTTCCACTTGGCTTTGCTACGTCTGAGCTTAAATACATTTTCTATCCTGTAAAATCAGCTTTCTCGGATTTTTTCTTTTGTTTTTTCCAAACAATCATCGTCACAGGACGTCTGCATACAATTTAAGGTAAGTTACTTTGGTTATAAACAAAAATATGTTTAGTTTTCTTAGCTTGAGGAAATAGCTTTGTCACGCGGACTTAGGCGCGCTGCTGCGGCCTGCTAACCAAAACCACTAACTTACGAACATTATAATCAATATTAATAGGGTTTTCATGTGTCAATTATCATATAAAACCTGGGAAGATGCAATGACTTACACGTACTTTATAAAATACCATAATTTCAATGTTTTGTTAGATATTGTTTGCTTACGGTGAAATCGACAGAAATAGGCTAACAGCTAACGTTATCTGTTCTTTACGTAACTTATTTTTTTATCCTTGTGTGTCTTTTGTCGAATATAGAAATTGGATTGACTGCCCCGGTTTCATTAACTTAATCGCCTTGTTCTGAACATTGAAAGTAAATGCCAAATGATGTCGTCATTCTGCTTAATATAATTTTGTTGAAGTAGAAGTCCTACGTGATCTCGTATTTGGTTTCTTTTTTTGTACTAGATTATATTAAAATGAGTTTGAGTGCAAGTGAACTGTTGTAATTTTTTGCTAATTTCATTTTTTTTTTTTTATATAGTGTTTTCGTAATTCATATCCCTCAACGGAGCCATGATCACCAGAAAAAGAGGAAGAAGCAGCCTTAACGCTGATATCACATCAAGTACCTCCAATGAGAGTGACGGTGCTTCGAAAACCAGTAATACAAGTGAAACAAACACACACACTTCTCCAGAAAGTGACACCAATGAATGGGGCCTGGATGATCTCCTTGGTTCAGAGTTCAACTGGGACCTGGACAACAATATGCTGGATGTTTTCGGCAACTTCGAATCACAGATCAACAATGAGGTGAACCAAAGTGCAGTTCTTGACGTTCCCGTATCCCGCAACAGAGGTTTGGTCCAGAGGTCAAAACTGCAAGACGTCTCTGGACGGATCATCAACAAGAATGCTGTCGCAGCAAGGATAAACCGATTAAAGAAGAAAGAATACGTCACTGGCTTGGAGCAGAGAGTGGGTTCTTTGACAACAGAGAACCGTGTTCTCAAGCAGGAAAATGGGAATCTCAACAAGAGAGTGGAAGATTTGGAGAATGAAACTAGGTACTTGAGAGCCGTGTTGGCCAATGAGAGCATGCTGGCTCAGCTGTTGTCTAGATTGAGCGGTGTGAACGGCATGAAATTTTCTACCTCGCTTTTCCAGGAATCCAACGAGAATGACCACGATTATGCCATGCCGAGGAAGAGGGTGAAGGTGGAAGACAAAGATACTGCAGGTGGTGTCTGCCTGCATGTGGACAAAGACCACGTCTCGGTGGAATTCTGCACCAAGTGTGCTGAGAGTTCAAGCTTGTCGCATAAAATGTAGGGTCAAGTATTTTACCTTTTCAACGTTTCCCGAGACTGAACTTTGCACAAGGTGTAAATGTGGGGACATGACAACAGTAGTCAAATGTAGAGTTAACTGTTTAAAATGTGTGCAGGGCTTGAATGGCATGTCTATTGAACCTGCTTTCAATACAAGTTACTGCTAAACTTGTTGACAGTTTTCTTCTAGGTGCTTGGTCCGCCATGCTGGACGACTGGGTCACAGAACATCCATGACTGCTGAAATCCATGGTAAGGATCAAGATATAGAAGACTGCACAGAACTGGTTAACTCCTAAGATGAAGACAGTGCTTTTTGCCAGTTCACGGCACAGAATGAACTGTTAATAAACTTAAGTTTTGTTTTTCTTTTTCATTTGGTATACGTTTAAAGCATTGCAGATAATGTACAAAATGAAATTAAACATTGTGTTTTGAGTTACGTAATTGTAGTATGTAATTTCAGTTAAAATAGACTTTGAGGGAATTAAGTGGAAACAAATATTGTTTAAAAAAATGTAAATGGGTGATGTTTCACAAAGGGCTTCCGCTTGTATTAATCTGGAAAAAAAATCGATTCGGAAGTTGATACATTGATGTTGATTCAACACAAGTTTGTTCTGCAAGCTTGTATTTTGCTGAAAACAGATGAGCCCTTTCTGAAATATCGCTATATTTCTAAAGAATGTTTTTCATGTAGAACCCTTATTTTCTTTTATGCTAAAGTGGATTTTGCTGTGGGGAAAGCTGAAGAGTCGGGACCAGCAGCTTGCATCATGGCCTGGTAAATTTAAAAAAGGTAGTACATAAAACCGTGTAAGTTACAGCTTTTACTGACTCTTATCACACCCCTAAAGATGTCAGACGCTGTCATTCTCATTTAGCATCTAAATGAGTGTTTAAACTCTTCTGTTTGTGGTAACATTTGCTTATGACATTGAACATTTGTCATCCATGTGTTCCATTTCGATTTGCTATGGCACTTGGACTTTATTTGACAGTTGTCCAGAGGAAGTGAAATGGTATGTTTTAAAGTGGGGTTTTCAAAGGGTTTTGATTTCTGAATAAGTCATCTATTTGTGAGATGTAATTGAAATCCAAAGACTGTGCAGACTGTCTGTGCTGATAAAAAAAAAAAAATGTAATAAATTTTCTTTTGAGTAATGCAAAATGCTTGGTGTCCTATTAAGATATTAACCACACTCTCCTTCTCTTTTTAGACAGCACTTTCTTCGCTCTCTACAAGAGCCTTTCACCTCTCTTCAAGGTGGATAAAGAGTGGTGGTGGTTTCTTCCCATAAGGTGTAAACTGCAAAATTCCTTAAGGGCTCTGATAATTCAGTGACATCGAATTAACGGCTGGGGCTCTGTAGTGTTGCGGATCAACTTAAGCAGTTCTGAAATGTATAACTCTGAAGTTCATGTTTGTACCTCATATACCACTGTCTGTGTGAATAGAACAAACATCTTGAAGTGACAAATGATCATCTTGTCACTTAGGCTATGTTAACACAGAAACGATCTGAAGAGAAAACGCAAAAGTGGCGTTGCGTTATCACTTTTTATTCTGCGTTTAGACGAGCGTTATGGGTGGGAAATCTGTGTGGACCATATGGTGACACAAAAGTGTGTGAAATTTGATGTAGTATGCACTCCAGGCGGCTAGGTGGCAGTGTAAAGCATTGCCACACAACAACACCAAGTCTGTGCACAACCTTCACTGTCTAGCAGACTTTTTGCGTTTTTACCCTAAAGGCCGTGTGATCCACCAAAACGTTTTTCCACGCGCCTGGCGTTTGTTTTCAATGGGAGCGCCGCGTTTTTTTAAAATGCCATGAGTGTAACGAGGTGTTGAGCATTTTTTTTTTTTCAGGCTGAAGCATACATTTTTAGTATGAAATAAATTATCTGTGAAATCAGTTACAAGTGAACTGTGCTGTGGATATTCTGTATCATAACAACGAAACGTCTCAACGGGAAAAAAAAAAATGTTGCCAGAACGCTCTCAAGCGCTCAAAGCATGCCGTTTTCAGCAGAACGTCTAACGTTTTCAGCTGGCTAAAAACGCTTTAGTGGACACACGGCCTTAGACAGAAACGTGACGGTGGAGCGCTTTTAAGATTTCCACTCTGGAGGGTGGTTTCGCTTTTTTGCATTTTTAAGCCCCAAAAACGCCGTCGGCGTGTAAAGGAAAGGCACATTCGATAAAATATTTTTGTTTTCACCAGTGAGAGTTCTCATGTAAACAGGGCCTCGGGTGTTAGGGTTGTTTCTAGCTACGTCCTCATTAAACCGGATACATTTGAAAACAGCGTTTTCGTTTAAAAACGCTATCCGTCCACACAAGCGTTTTCCGGCGTTTCAGTGTGAATGAGAAACTTCTAAATTCAGCTTACTGCGCATGCTTGAAACCTCACAAAAACTCACCGAAATGATAAATATGGAAAATAAATAATATAGTTACTGCGCAATTCTTGCCACTGGCTTCACAGTCCATACTACAGCGCAAAAATTGTGTTTTTAAATTTATCCGCTTTGGAGAGCGGTTTCCAAAAGATACGTTTTCATTGACTTAAAACGCTGTGTCATTGTGGACGGAAGGCCAAACCGGAGAGGAAAAACATACGTTTTCAAACGAAAACGTGTGAACATGGCCTCTAATGAGCGAGATCCAAACAGAACACACTTCTAGTCCAGCGCTGCTTTTATCAACTTTATCACAAAGCTCATGGATATCATTTTAAACTCTCAGTTCCAATGCACAGATGCATAGTGATCCCATGAGCTTGTTTCTACCTGCACATGTCCTGACACGTTCAAAAATAGTTGACTTCTCTTTCTCTCTGGCTACCCAATAGTCTCGTATTCCCCCTAGTGTCAAACAATGGAATTACACCAAAAATTCAAAACAACATAATGGCTCTTGCACAATAAATCTAAAGGGAAATACTTGTTTTTTTCTCTCTTCTGTGGTAACAGTTTGTATAAAAAGATTTTAGAATTGAATGTTTCTAAAAAAAAAAACAAAAAAACTAATTGAATGTTTCTAAAAGAAACAAAAAATCTCTAATATTGGTACAAGTATTTTCTCTTGACCCATCCAATGATATACTATAGATGTAATTCTTCTGAAACAATGTGACTAAATTGAGTTTTGACTAATTTAAAAGCTTATGTTGACCTTTCCTCAATGTTATTTCGGTTTGCATTTCAGAACTCTTCGGTTGATCGTTGCGGTAGGGGTTTGGAAATTAGCGCACATTGAAAGGTCTCTTTGTGGCAGTAAATGTGTGTTGTATGTAAGATACATAAGCTTCTTTCTCAGTGTTTTTATTATTAGTTGCCAACAGAACCTGGTTATTGATCAGAATGCTTTCAATTTGATCTCTTGTAAGTTGTACATTGGCAAAAGGCATTTGCATACACCACTTTTTATCCACTTTATTTTCTTTTCTTTACATTTTAGACAAACACAAATGGTAGGTAATGTTTCTTGGTATAATTACATTTAAAGAAATAAAATATAAATACCTTAACTAGTGATTTAGGTCATTTGTGGAAAAGACACAAAGTTATACGAGACAAAATCTATTGACCTGTGATGGTTCTTTGTGTTGGAAAAGGCATCAAAAACAAATCATAGTACTGGATGAGCATGTTTTATTTTTAACAAAGATTGATAATGTAAAATATTAACAGTATCTGCTAACCATTAAGCTCTTCACTGTCAGAATCTGGTATTTTCAAAATTTTTAGGTAGATATCAAAGTGCTTTGAGCTCAAGTAGGTTCCAAACAAACCCTGCAGTAGTAGAACAACATACATCTTCTGTACAATGGGTTTGCTTAGGTTCATCCAGAAGCGGATCATGTTGCCCTTCTCTGGCATAGGTGCACTGTTATACCTGCAAGACAATTGGAGATCAGTTATATAACTTGCTGAATTCTATTTCTAAGAAAATAAATATGCAATAACAATGAGAACAAACCTGGCTGCAAGACCAGCATTAACAGGCAAGGCCAACAAAATAGGATATATGCCACCACCAATCACACCCACCAAACCCCCTCTTATCAGGGTACAGGTTGGGCAGTTCAGGTCACCTACAATTACAAGAAAGTCACTTAATGCAAAGCAATCTGAAGAACACAAAGACCTTTCACGTCACTGGTGTAGGTTCGTCACGAAAGGTAAGTAACAAGTAGTAAATGCCAAATTATGCAAATGAAAAGTACTTAAGCCTATAACATTGCAACATTGATGTTGAGCAGAAACGATCTCCAATCTGGTTAAACTTTTACTAATCTAAGGGGTTAAAGTTAATACCTGACATTAGGGGGTTTGTGACGGTGGCAGTGTACAGTACTGCAGTTGTCAAAAAGGGAAGAACAGCCATGGGAAGGCTGGAAGTAAATCGTCCTTGGGTGACATTGAGTGCCCGTCTGTAAAAGCTGTTGGCTATCAAACCAGAAAATCCAGCGTTGCCAGCCAAATATATGGGGCCATACGAAAACAGTTTCCTGTTGGAGTTAACACAGTAATGTTTCATTAACTAACTGCAGTGTTAAAGTAAGTTGTGACATATATTGTATATAAAACTTACCTATCGATATCAGGGAGCCTTTGAAACTTCTTATCCAGCATTTCAATAATCAATGCCCTGGATGCTTTCTGGCCTTGGCCTATGTCTTTCACAAGCATAGCATTATCTGCCATGTTGATCTAAAGAGACAGAGCCTGTATTAATATCAACATATGGACTCCCAGCAGACAGACAACCTTTTAACTAACGTTACATATCGAAAATGTTGATATTTCACTGTTGTGTGCTGAAGGCTGTCACCATGATTCATCAACGTTTCAGCTTGCGTCATTATGTTTATAAATCGATGTATTACTCGTGAAATGTTTGTTTATATTGCTAACTATGTTAACATTACACTAAATATAGATACTTTCTATTCGTCGATTTGCGATTTGAACATTCACTAAGTTCATATTAATCTGCCTTTACATTATTTTAGACAAATTTAATACACGTGTTTGTAAACTAAACTTCCTGGTATGGCGTTTTGAAAATGCAGTGTGCCGTTTACGGCAAGAGACGCGTCTGCACGGTCAAACCAGTAGTAACTCATTCAACCTAGTAGTGACAGCCGCTTTGTTGATGTGTGGCTGAAGAATGTCAAACCCGGTCGTATCACTGTCTGTTCATTTACAACTGCGTTTGCACATGGTCAACACCGCATTTATGCATTGTAGGAATAACTTACCCACGAATAAGCTTTTAAATAATCGCTAAACTGTTTCCATCCCCTGGTCAACAGTCACGGTCCTCAGTGCCAGCAGGGCGCGGCCATGTCTAACCACATGTTTCAGTCAACTCTGACCCCGAGATCCAGGAACAGTACGACAATTCCTATTGGTCCGTTCGTGCGCCAACTGAAAGAATGGACGAACGCCATTGGAGGACGCGTCCTGTCAATCCCCGCGGGTCAACCCTCTCGTTGCTAAGGCGAAACTGGTGATGATGCTGCTGCTGGTGATACTGCACCCACCATAGAGAGAGTCTGCAAAACAGCTTTGGCAAAAGATGCCGTGAAGATCCGCAGAAAAAATAACGGGAAAGGAAGTGAAGTTGTTCTTAACTGCATATCGGGACGTTTGACGAGGAGCTTTGGGATATATTTGCTCAGATTGGCTTAATTACCGAGGCAATTGTGGAGCCATGCGTTATCGGAAAGCTGGATGAAACTTGCAGGTGTTTTCCGACAGGCGTCGCACTGACAGGCTGCTGTTTCATTGGGGGAAATATCCTGTCTTCTTGAGTTAAATATGTTTTCTGTCTTTAGATCAGAATTGTATACACCAGTTTGCCTGTAGCAATGCTATGGTGATTGTTTCGCGTGGGTCTTGAAGCTGAATTAAGAGACGTGAAACTGGATTGCGCTGATCAAGCAGCACGATAAATACATTTTAAATTATTTTCGGATCAGATTATAACATAAGACATGAAGTTCAAAACACATAAACTTCATTCTATCACAATGTAGGCATAACAAGTTGTTCTTGAACTGTTACAAGCATGCATCAATAAACTTACACGGGCATATGAGATGCAGAGACGTGAAGTCATGCTTATGTGTTCGTCAAACTGTTGCTAGATCTTCATTTGTAGTTTTAGGATTTAAAAATAATGCTTGATCAGCATATAGCCAACTGACTGAGTCAAAGTCAAGCCATGTGCTGGGGAGCCTTTCTAATTTGATGTTTATGGCCCTTTGGGGCAAAAACTAGTATAGTTATTCAGGACTGTATGGGTTAAATGGGTTGTTTTATGGACAACGTGACTGGATTATGTTTATGTAGGCTAGTTAAACACCAGGCATTTGAGATGAGAAGAGTCAATGGTTTTGCGAATGTTCCATAATGCACAATAGCCTACCGAGAACAGATTCAGACACTTGAGAGCAGTTTTGACATTTCTCATGGACTCATGCTCGCCAAGGTGCACTCGATCACTATCCACTCTTACTATCGGATTATGGATTTATTTCTTATCAGCGAGTCATGCGCTCAGCATATGCTGTTTTCTTCTGCGAGATGTTTCGGCGCGTGCCCCTCTCTTTAACTTGACAATTCTATGAGCTTTTCTATCTACATTAACGAACTGGGGAACTTGCTGCTTTAGCAAGTGACAGTTTCTCCAAGACACTGACAGCAGATGAGGGAGAAACGTTTGTGTTGCTGTTTCCATGCGTGACAATCCCACAAGGACATACTGGAGTAATTATGCCCTTAAGAAAACGAGGTGAGAAATAAACACGTATTAATTGTGAAACATGTTTATACGATTGTAATGTGGACTTTTTTTAATCGTCAACAATATCCTAGGTTACAATTTTAATTAATGGGGAAGATGAGTTTTATATTATTGTTACTGGTGGTGACCAGAACTAGAATACGCAATTTCTCTTATTCATTTCTTTTCACCTTTTTCACCATCGAGTGAAGACAGAATTATTTTAAATGGTCACGCATTGTTACAAATAAAATGTTAAAAGTAGGCTACAAACAGGCTGTCTCTCAATAAGAGGTCATACAAGCTTCATTGTTCCAATTTTGAAAATGTTGAAATATACTATAGCATGACACACATATGTAAAGTTTACAAAAGTATTTCCCGCCTGCTACGGTAAAATATCGTAACTTGATTAGGTGAACGTTTTAGTTGCTGAAGCAGACAAAGATCATGTTATCATGACTGTCTTTGAATATCTTTATTTTATTTAATGTCTTTACCTCCTAAGCCTTAAATATGCAGTGGGGACTTCATACTGTGTAATTATATATTTAGGTCTCCTAATAGTGTAATTATACTCTGCAGTAAGTTTGTAGTCTGTAAAAATAGACACGAGTATGGCCAACTCGCCTATGACCCCGGATGCTCTTATGCTGGTTTGCATTTATATTTCAGACTGGTATGCAGCTGTTTATAGTTACTCTTTAAGTGACATGCATGGCTACTACAAGACGATAAATTTGGTGTATTTTGTATTTAACCCTGGTATAACCTTGTGCTCGCACTCGGGGAGTCTCGTGCACACCCGAGACCGGAAGTAGGGTAAACTTTTTTCCGATAAAAAAAGCGTGTTTGTTTAGCGCTAGCACATCTTTTGCTTACCTTTTTATGATGTTTATGTCAACCCAAAGAAGAAACAACCTAAGAACAATCACTTCACAGCTTTCTGTATTTTCATGGAACAACTGGTGAGAAGTTAAATCACGCCAGACACAGACGACAACAATACGACCAGCTACGATCGACATTCATTGTCAAAATGGACTGTGAACAGCTTGTTTTCTCTCAATCATTCATATATCTGACAAAAGTAAGAATAGCAGATGTTTTCAGTTTTGTTGCTAGTTTTCATGGAAATGTGAAAACATCGAAATTGGACAAAGGTTACAAATTTCTTGACGTTTGCAAACACAAAGTTCCATTCATAAATGGCATGGCACTTGATAACTTCTCACATTCAACGTAAATATATCGAAAAAATATATTGAAATGATGTCTGATTGTAGGCTATGAGTGAAATCTAGTGGCTTTTGTTAAAAAAAAAATACATGGAATTATATGTTCTTTTCATAACAGTTGAAATCTTTCAAACAGTTAAATATTTTGTAACTTCATGATAAAAAAACATGTAACGTTAATACTCACTTCATTCATGCAATCTCCTGGACTAATTAGTAATTTAAAAAATCATGTCACACAATATTAACTGTCTGGGTTTCCCTAATGAAAAGAAATTAAATCTTATCATAAATGGTTTAACAGTATATTTGAAAACATACAGAATTACATGGTGTTAATACTTATATTGCATATTACATAAGCAATTTTCATATATTTAAAAATGTGAGACAATATATTTACTAATATATAAGGTATGCAAGTTATCTGTCGTTATGGGAGTACGACGGATTTCTGTCAATATGTCCTAATGTCTTTTATATAGGCTTAAAATGTATACATTTTGGATTAACTTTTAAAGATTATCTTGATAGACAAAATGTGTAAGGGTCACAACTCTTTGTTGAACACAGATCTTATTTTTTTTGCGATTTTCCAAAAGTCTATGGGGAAAATGCATAGTTTTTCGACCAAGGTAACCCATGCGCCGCTAGCTTCCAAATTGTCCTACAAAGTGACGTTATCACTTCGGCACTCTATTGGTCATGACGGTTATGACGTGAGTCAAATGTGACTGTTCCTAACATAACCGTTATCATGATGTATACAAAATGTGTGTGTAAAAAAAATGTAAATAGCATAACATTTTATTTTATTTTTCTTGCAGACACAGTCAGGGCTATAAGCCTCATGGAGGACTACTGCTCCAAACTGAAGAAACCAGAGGAACAAAAGCTCAAAACTGCCATCTTAAGAGTCACGGGCATTTTCAAAAGCAGTCTTTTCCAGGCTCTCATAGGTAAGCTTAAATTTGCAGAACTTTTTTTGTGATTTTTTTTTTTTATTATAGCAAAATAGGTCAATTAAAAGACAATGGTTGTTTATTGTTTGAGCAGTGCAGCACAAGAGCTGTCTTTATGTTGCATATGAGAAATATCAAATGGCAAACTAAACGAAAGTGAAACGAAACCGGGATACTCTGAGTTTAAACAGCTTCACTAAAGGGCCGATCTCGAGCATGCAACACTATTTACTACACAGAAAAAACAATGGTGTCATTCGTATCACTGTGTATCAAGCGTCAGGAAACCTGAAGCTGAAATTCAGATAATGGTTTGTTGTGTTTTACTCAGAGCAGAGTAGATTTTTGCTAATGAGGGGTAAAGAGAGACTAAATCTTCTAACTAACCGTTTTCAAATTGTTCGACAATTTAGGTGATTTATAATATATATTTTGAGAACATGATGGTGTTTTTAAAATACAAAATTAGGAAGCTTTAAAATAGCATAATGAAGCTCTTTAAAACACTGTTTTTGAGTCTTAAGGTCAATGTTTTCTTTTCTATTATTTGTTCCATTAAGATTGCATGTGCTTTGTCTGCTGATGTGACATTTGCTCATAGTTCATTCTTAAGCAGTGGGCACATTCTGCCGCTTTAGGGCTTTTTTTCCTAAAATAAAGTTATTTTTAACCTTGCTGATGTGGCAGGAGATGCCTCCCTGTGCTTCTGGTATTTTAAAGTGTTCCTCATAAGCCCCAAATCTCCACAAGCTTTTGTCTTTTGTGTACAGAGAATCAGATTGATTTTGAATCCTCATCTATTCATACTCCATGTCAAATAAAGCTTGAGGACAAAATGCTCTCATGTGCTTTTACTACCGTATGCATTAGTGAGCAATAGATATTAGTGGTTTTGACTTTCATGATTTCCTCGTAGCATGTTATTAAATGTTTAGACACTTCATTAGCTGAATATAGAATGTACAATTGATGATTCTGTAATAAAACGTCTAATCATAATTTCTGTAATGAGATGGACCACTGTGCTGTCACAGTCTGTTAACGTTTTCACCGGGATGTCCATCTTTATTCTGGTCTAAAGCAAAGTTTCATTTCATTCAATCAATTAGCAAAGAAACTCAGAGAGCAGTCTGTCTTTTCTAACAAGTTTTAATGTTTTAGCTACATCTTAAAGCTACATCATTTAAACAAATAGCTTTGTTTAAATAGTAGCCTTGTTCTGTTGAGTTTCACAATTGTGTGGCCTAAGGAATGTCAAAAAATCACAGCTTTTGCTTTAAATGGACATTGGTAGAAATATGATGATGCAAGTTTTAACATCAACACATTGAGGAATCTTATGCAGAATGTCTTTTAATAAACTTGAGGTTTGAATGAGGTTTGAATCGGACCCTATGCTTGCTATGACTTAGTCTCCGGGGGCTCTATTTTAATGGTCTGAAACGCAAGTATTAAGCGCAAAGCTCAAGTAAATTTGTCTTGGGCGCTCTTGCTATTTTACAGGCGGGATAAATGACTCTTGCACCGACTCAAGCTTAAAATGAGTTGGTCTGAAATAGTTTCATTATTCATAGGTGTGGTTTGGGCGTAACTTGAAATAAACCAATCAGAGCATCATCCAACATACACTTTAAGAGCAGACCTGTTGCATGGCGGATTGTTGTTATTATTATTATAGGCTGTTTACCAGGTGCGTACAAGGAGCGTTCACAGCCGAGGAGACCGATGTTTCTGTCAGGGCAGTGAAAGACAGAGAAGTGACATTGTATGGGGGTGGATGGGGATTTTTTTTTTTTTTTCTGGTTCTTAACGGACCAACTAATTTGTCAGATGTTCTTATATACATATGTGTCTTGAAGTTTTGAAACCAAAATATGTTTTACTTTTTGAACTCATGGAAACTTTGGAAGGGCATGGCTGTGTGATTGCTGCTTGCTGCTATATTTAGCTTGTGTGTTTGATACTTACAAATGTAAAAACAAATCGTGAAGATCTGTAAAACTTGTCCCCTTTCTATTGATTTCCAAAAAAAAAAAAAAAAAAAATTGATTTCCTCGATTGAGGTCACTACCTGAAATAGCTGTAATCATCTTAGATGGCATTAGCATGAATGTAATCTGGAGGGTGTGCCATCATGCCAGAGAAATGTAACCTCTTAACCATATAACCTATTCTCCCATTCACCAGGAAACACACACACACACACACACACACACACACACACACACACACACACACTCTCTTAACCTATTCTCCCATTCACCAGGAACACACACACACACACACACACACACACACACACTCTTAACCTATTCTCCCATTCACCAGGAAACATGTCTGACACAGTAATGAACACCTGGCAGCATAGGTTGTTGAACATAGTGTTGTGGTATCTTAGCTTGGCCATCCCCAATGAAATATGGAAACACATTTTTTGCTCAAATTCATAGGGAAATGGACTTGAATATGGTGAAAAGTATTAACCTTCAAATGGTCTTCATTTCCTGTTTACACTTATGGGCTTCGGGGTTTATATGACCCCAACAATTGAGCAATTGTACTCATTTATTCATTAATGCTGTGTTTTTGGAGATATAAAGTACTTTTGTATCCAGATACCACACAATTCCTCAACTACACCATTAGCTTGCAAATGAAATATTACTTTTTTAAGATGCATTGCATTTATGCTCTAGTACTAGGCCTTAATTTGTGTGTAAAAATTTTCAGATTTATGCCGGATTTTTTTTTTTTTGACACATGAAAAAAATATATTTCGTTTTTTTTTTTCTTCACATTTCCCATTCATTTCAATGTGGGGTCATATTGTCCCCGAAGACCAGAAGTGTAAACATTTTTTTTTTTTACATACCTTCTGAACAACCGAATCAAGCCTAGTTTTTTTGTGTGTATGGATAGATAATGTATGAAAAGTCACAAAATCGTATTCCACTGAGATGAAGGGAACCTTTTTTTTATTAAGTAAAATTTGATTGGGGTCGTATAGACCCCATGACCCGATTGAGGGTTAAATGGAATACTACAGACTGTTTTTAAAGGAATAGTCAATGATTTATTTTTTTGTCATCATTTACTTAGTCTGATGTCATTCCAAAACTGTATGTGTTTGTGCAACACAGAAAACATTCCGAAGAACAGTGAGAATCAAACAACATTGGAGCACGTTGACTTCCAATGTATAGACAAATAAAAAAATTGGGGGGGGGAAAAGGTCCTTTATGTGCCACATAAAGAATTTGTCATACATCTTTGGAAGGAAATGAGTGAGTAATTAATGACCCATTTGTCATTTTTGTTAGTACTAACCTTTTAAAAAATATTTGCAAGGGGCAAAAGATGTGTAAAGGCTCACACCATGGACAATAACTATAACTATAAATATATATAGAACTATATTGTAAACTGGTGTGGATGCTAATAGAGTTGTCATTCTTTTGTGTGAATGGGCCTTTGAGAACTTTGCATGTGCTAGTTCACCTTAGTTTTATTTTAAAAAACAGAAATACAATTTTTAAATGCTAAAATGTACCTTTTAGATTTTGCACATTTTGGAAGTTGGAACCCTGAAGTTCTTGAGACTTTGATTTACAGCACTTTATAGTAAGTTTGGTAGTTGTAGTAGTTTTTAATAGTTGAAGAAGCCAAAAATGGAATGGCTGTGTTAAATAATGACAGTATGTGTTCGATATTTTAATGTTTGAATCAAAAGATCTCTGGAATGGCTCAGTCTTGTTTTTAGAGTGTGAGATTTCCTGGCTTAATATTCTCCATCACAGCTGCTCATTGGAATCCTTTAGATACTGAGACGCTGCGGCCTAATCGGGAAACCAACCACAGTCTGCCAATTTGTTCCATAGAGGTTTTTAATGGGCCCTATTTGTCACTGTCATCTGAACAAGGTTGGATGCTGCCCTCTTAATAGAAGAGCCATGACGGTGCACTCCTGTTTCACAGAGAGACCGTCCCACGAGAAGCTTTTTTTTTTTTGCTCCTGCTGCTAAACTGTAATCAGATCTGTTACTCTTGCAGGAGGGGAGTTCCTGATACCAGGGGACGGATGGCGAATATCGGTCTCTATTTGGACCAAGCTTCATGGCTAGAACAATACTACTGCTCTATTTCTAGAGTCCCAGAACACTCATCAAAAAATGAATCTAGCTTTATATATTGTATGTTGTTTTTTTTTTTTTTCCTGTTGTAGAATAATCTGGTTTTCCTGTAGCATTAACTCACTCATCTCTCTTTCATCTGGTCCTGAACCTAGTGGATGTGAGTTTATGTGCTTCACATGGTGGTGGAAGCCAAGCCTCAAATTGGAGGATTCTGGTTGAGGACTTTTGTCAGAGACTGTTGGCTTGATTTACGGGTCAGTGTTAGGTAATCTCGTTCGTCAGTGATTGTCAGGTATGACCCAGATCTGAGATCAGTGGCTTATAGTGCAGTTTGGGACTACATTTGTTGAGAAACACATTTGTAGAGTGAAGAAAGTGACTGATCATCTTGAGGGATTATATAAATTAGTTTGCTAGTTTTCTTGCAGGTTTAAAGTTATATTAAAGGGGTCTTAAACTGGCTTTTTAAATTTGATTATATTGTTGTCTGAGGTCAACTTATGATGTTCGCTTGGTTTTTACTTTCAAAAACATCAAAATGAATAAGTAATAGGCTATATTTCTACCCTAGTTTTGAGCCTGAAAAACGCTCTTGGAAGTAAACGCCCACTGCTGTGAGTGGACAACAGTTTTGCATATTATAATGAGATTTACTCACCCGTCGATGCACTTGGGGGAAATTGTTTTGAAAACGTCCAATGTTAACCAGAATGATTCGCCCATACATGTTCGACCCAGAGTCTGTGTGTTGCACCATTCCTGTCGGATCCAATATAGAAGGCATAGCAACATTCTTTAATGTTAATCGGTCTGCAAATCCAGTCTTGTTTACAAAACAATTCTCAGTGAAATGAAGCGAACAGA